ACCACCACCACCACCACCACCACCACCACCACCACCACCACCACCACGACCACCATGAACAACAGCAACAACGACCACCACAACAACAACAACAACAACAACCACAACAACGACGACGACCAACAACGACGACCAACAACGATCAACAAACAACATGCGAAATTCGACGACAACAACAACACCACCACCACCAACAACGACAACAACAACAACAGCAACAACAACCGCGACAGCGACAGGAACTTGGCAGCAACGTTGCGTCAGTGTGGCTGAATGAAACTGGTGTCCAAGCAAATGGAAAAGAAGCAGCGCTTCAGCATGGTTGCCAAAGCAGGAAGTGGGAAAATCTTTTTGATCCCCAGAGTCACAACACCTAAGTCCTGCCACACACGGACATGACGAGCCTCTTCGCGCACCGGCTCATCCTGACAAGGCAGAATGAGCAACGCAGGACAAGCAACAAAGAAGGACAGGCGGCAAAGAAGAACCGCCGCAGCAGCAGCAGCAGCACCACCAGCAGCAGCAACAGCAGCAGCCGCATCCAGCAACAGCAACAGCAACAGAAGCAACAGCAACAACAACAACAACGACAACAACAACAGAAACAACCGCGACAGCGACAGGAACAGCGGCCGCAAGAACAGCGGGAACAGCAACAGCCAGCACAGCAGTAAAGGACTGGCTGCATGGCACGCGATCATTTGATACATTCGCCACACGGTCATGAAGGGGCTGTTGCGCGGGTACCTTGGAAGACGGCCAGGCCACTTCCATACGCCTCTCCTGCCAGTGTGAGTAGCAAAACATCGACTCTGAAGACAAACATGCAACTGAATGGAGTGGAGGAGTCTAGAGCAAGCTTTTGGCGCACGAGCCTCGTCGCGCACCGGCTCATCCTGACAAGGCAGAATGAGCAACGCAGGACAGGCGACAAAGAAGGACAGGCGGCAAAGAAGAACCGCCGCAGCAGCAGCAGCACCACCAGCAGCAGCAACAGCAGCAGCCGCATCCAGCAACAGCAACAGCAACAGCAACAGAAGCAACAGCAACAACAACAACAACAACAACAGAAACAACCGCGACAGCGACAGGAACAGCGGCCGCAAGAACAGCGGGAACAGCAACAGCCAGCACAGCAGTAAGCACGGACAAGAGCGAAACTACGTGCTGCAGAACCAAACAGTACTGCTGCAGCTGGGGACCAAACGACAGCGAAGCGGAGGAATCCAACCTGGTAGGCTCAGATTTAGCAGCGCAAAGCTAAGCAAGCAGAAGCAGCTGCAATTAAGCTACAGGCTGGTGTTTTCACTGTAAGGGCCCTAAGGGCACAGTGCTGGCGCAAATTAATAGTCTTTGGCGGTCCAGCACCAGTTGGCCTGGTACAAGGTTACATGCCAAATTGTAACGGCATGGTAGGAGCGATACACTACATGATAGATAAGTTTGTACCACCTGCCTCGTCTTCTTCGCTGAGGTTCTCCCAGCGCGTCATGGC